ATTTTTAGTGGGGTTTCAGTCAAAATTGAAAATACCGTAAGTCAAAAATGCATTTAATACACCTAACCTACCAAAACACCATAGCTTAGACTAGCCAATCTGAAATGTGCTAAGAACATTTACATTAGCCTACATTTGGGCAGAATCATCTAACACCAAGCCCATTCCATAATGAAGTGTTGAAGATGTCACGTAACGTATTGAATACTGTTCTGAAAGTAAAACAGAATGGTTTTAAGTGCATGGGTTGTTTGGTGGCAGCATGGCTGGCCGGGAGCCACAGCTGGCTGCCACGCACACGAGAGAGCATCGTACAGCACATTGCTAGCCCGGGAAAGGATCCAAATTCAAAACTCAAATTATGGTTTCTACTGCATGGATATTGCTTTCGCACCATCATAAAGCTGAAAAATCCTAAATCGAACCATCGGAAGTTGGGGATCATCTGTATTTGGAAACATTTTTCCTATTAATCTTCCTAGCTTCTCCAAGCATTTCACACAAGGAAGAGTCTGCTAAGGGTGGAAGCTGAATATACCATCGGTTTTCTTTACTGTTTCCTGAATTTAACTCTTCCTCCTTCTCTCAGCATAAGTTAAAGCTGGGACGGGAGGACACACAGAATATCATACAACCGTGGCTTCATGCAGGGTATAAAAGCCTAACACCGGACCTTTGTGAGGTCCTCACTTCCTTTGTATTATTTTTCTTGAGGCCCTGTGGCCTCTGGCCCACACCCCACTTAAGCCTGTGGGAAGGCTGTAGGCTTTCCCCACCCTTCCTTAATCTGATTCTGGCTCCCTTTATTTTTCCAGATCCAAGTTTTTCTTATCCCACATCTGACTAGAGTAAAGGGTTGTAACAACTTCATCTCCTGGTCCAAACTTTTCTCCCTCTTTCTCTCTTTTTTAGCAGTCGCCTTTTCTGGATTGTTCATCTTAATACAAAACATGAAACTATTCAAATGAGGTACAACAGTGGAGGGAGGTTTCGGAATGCAAACTAAGTACAATTGTAAACAGCGAAAATATGTATTTTAGATATTGGTCAGCAAAGCAGGGCTTAAAATATTAATCCCTTAAAGCATTCCATGATATTTCTCTATTTAATCCAAAGACCCTCCTGCTTGGATTTGTGGGTTTTGTCCCGGCCTATCATGCTTACTTTCTCCCTGATGTTCTCTTGCTTCTTTCCTTCTTCTTTTTCTTTCTTTCTTTTTTTTTTTTTAAAGTAAGTTTTACACCTAACATGGGGCCTGAACTCATGACCTCGAAGTCAAGGGTCACACACTCTACCAACAGAGCCAGCCGACCACCCCACTTCTATCCTTCTTTTGACTGTAGAGAGAGAAAATTCTTGAATGGACCTCAGGTCCATCCCTTTCAGTCTTTGCTATCTCTTCAGCCTCCTCTCACTGAATTGGGACAGCCACTCTACTTCTGCCTTTGTACTTAAATGCATGTTTTCATCTGTTTTTCAGTCTTCCCCACATTGGGAAGACTTGGATTTTCTCCTCGGTCATGGGTTTGCTCTGGTCTCTCTCCTCTCCAGTCTTGCTTCTAGCTCTTGTAGTCACTCTTCTTTTCTCTAATAAATCCCCTGGAGCTGTCCATGTTGCTTCTTTCATGCCACCCAGAGAATCTTGAGTCCTGCCACATTCCCTCCAACAACACAGCCCTTTGTCATGCATTTGCACCTTTCTCAGCATCATGATCTTGTCCAAAGGTGGCTCTGTGCTCTGCTATTACTATGTTTGCCCCCCTATATATTTTAAGATAAGAATTCTAAGAAAGGGCTGCCTTTCAAAAAAGACAAGATCTTATTTTGCCTATATTTTAGTGCATCCGAGCACACAGTCCATGCTTAATCTGTTGAGATTAATGGATTCTGAGTTTTACTCCCAAGATGCACGTATCCAAAAAATCAAGACAATTAAGTTCTTTCTCCCTATCTCCTAATTTTATTTTTTATTTTTTTTAAAGATTTTATTTATTTATTAGAGAGAGAGAAACAGCATGAGAGGGGAGAGAGTCAGAGGGAGAAGCAGGCTCCCGAGCTGAGCAGGGAGCCCGATGCGGGACTCGATCCCGGGACTCCAGGATCATGACCTGAGCCGAAGGCAGTCGCCCAACCAACTGAGCCACCCAGGCGCCCCTTATCTCCTAATTTTGGTTGAAGGATACTCACCGTTGTCCATTATCTGTGCCACTAATTTGAAAGTCTCTGATTATGTATAAGATATATTTTTAGTTTTAACATCAATAGAAACTAAATTTTATCTCTTTTATAACAAATCTCTATTGTTAAAATACAGAGAGTAAGCCTAACTATCAGGCTGGAATTATTGCAGTAATTTAGTTGTAGGTTTTGAAGTGCATTTTATTTTTTTTGAAGCTAGTCCCTCGATTATAGTTAATTCCGTTTGATGCACAGGAGATTGTTCTCTGGCAGCTTTCACCCAGCCTTCTGATGCTTTATTTACTAGGTGGGCTGCTTCAGTTTATATGTATTTCCTCTAATATACTTTATGCTTTATCGAAATGAAGTGTTTCTTTAAAAATTAAAAGCTTAACCAACTGGAGTGAATATAAGTTGCATGTTTGCAGTGAAAAGTATGTTTTTAAAAAAGTGTTCTATTTTAGTATAGTTGACATACAACGTTACATTAGTTTCAGGTGTACAGCATAGTGATTCACTTTCTCTGTACATTACGCTGTGTTCAGCTCACCACAAGTGTAGCTACCATCTGTCATCATACAACGCTATTACAGTATCATTGACTGTGTTCCCTGTGCTGTGCCTTTTATTCCCATGACTTACTCTGTAACTGGAAGCCTGTATCTCCTACTCCCCTTTGCCTATCTCCTCACCCCTCTGGCAGCCATCAGTTTGCTCTTCTGTATTTATAGGTCTGATTCTTTTTGTTTGTTTACTCATTTGTTTTTTAAATTCCACATGAGTGAAATCATAAGGTATTTGTCTTTCTCAGTCTGATTTATTTCACTCAGCAAGAAGGCCTTCTAGGTCCATCTGTGTTGTCGCAAATGGCACAAGGTCATCCTTTTTTATGGCTGCATAATGTTCCATTACACACCACATTTTTCTTAACCATTTGTCTATTGATGGACTCTTAAGTTGCTTCCATATCTTGGCTATTGTAAATAATGCTGCAATAAATGTAGAGATGGATATATTTTTTTGATTTAGTGTTTTCCTTTTCTTTGGGTAAATAGCCAGTAGTGGAATTATTGGATCATATGGTGTTTCTATTTTTTTTTTTTTTAAAGATTTTATTTATTTATTTGAGAGAGAATGAGAGAGAGAGCACATGAGAGGGGGGAGGGTCAGAGGGAGAAGCAGACTCCCTGCCGAGCAGGGAGCCCGATGCGGGACCCGATCCAGGGACTCCAGGATCATGACCTGAGCCAAAGGCAGTCGCTTAACCAACTGAGCCACCCAGGCGCCCAGTATTTCTATTTTTAATTTTTGAGGAACCTCCATGCTGTTTTTCACAGCATACTAATTTATATTCCCACCAGCAATGCGTGAGAGTTCCTTTTCTCCATATCCTTGCCAACACTTGTTATTTCTTGCCTTTTTTATTTTAGCCATTCTGACAGGTATAAGGTGATAGTTCATTGTGGTTTTAGTTTGTATTTTGCTGATGATTAGTGATGAGCATCTTTTCTTGTGTGTGTTGACCATGTATTTTTGGAATAAGGTCTACTCAGGTCCCCTTCCTATTTTTTAATCAGATTGGGGTGGGGTTTTTTTGGTGTTAAGTTGTAAAAGTTCTTTATATGTTTTGGATATTAGCTCCTTATTGGATATATAATTTGCAAATATCTTCTCCCATTCAATAGGTTGCCTTAATAAAAAGTAAATTTTTTTTTCAAATGATCAAATCTCTGGATCACGTCTCTAGGAGAGGGTTTATACATTCTTTGAGTGCCACTGCTTTCAGTGCATAGAGGTACACAAAACTACAGGACAAATACCACTTGCTCCTAGAGTGTCATTTTTATTTGAATGAGAGATATTTTATTTATTTTTTTAAAGATTTTATTTATTTATTTGACAGAGAAGAGACACAGTGAGAGAGGGAACACAAGCAGGGGGAGTGGGAGAGGGAGAAGCAGGCTTCCCACCGAGCAGGGAGCCCGATGTGGGGCCCGATCCCAGGACCCTGGGATCATGACCTGAGCCAAAGGCAGACACTTAACAACTGAGCCACCCAGGCACCCCTTATTTTTGTATTACAAATAAAAGTGTATTATGCAAGTGAATTTAGAGTTCACATGAATTTTTAAGATAAAACGGGGATTTTCGAAAAACAGTTTGCTTGCGCTTGCCTGAGTACTGAGTATGTATTTATCCTTTTCTATTAGTAAGCTTCATGTTATAGAAGAAACAAGTTCAAGGTCACACAGAGTCAGAAGGAGAAAATGCCTCACTGCCCTTGTTCTTTTCCTTTTACCAGTGCTTCTCAAACTTTGCACTTCCTAGAGAACCTTTTTTTATAACCTGCCCTCCTTTTAATCCCTGCCTGTCCCCAAAAAACCTTAATTTTGAAAGATGTCACCTACCAAACCGCATCTGTTAGAGAAACTATTTTACTGTATTTGGGGTAATCAAAAACCAAAGAAACTGCAAGTTGGACTTTCTGATCAACATGACCTAATGAGTAGCCACACTGAATTGTTGTAATTTGGCAAACAAAAGCTATTTGGGGGCAAATGGAGACATTATATATAAAGCCTGAGAAAAGAATGAAGGTGGTTTATGGGTAGGCTTGTTAATACCTTCGTAGATCCTTCAAGGTCTGAGGAGCCCCGGGAACAGTGAAGACCCAGGTTCTGAACCCACTGACTGCTCTTTAATCTGCTGCCTTGCAACTTGAAATTAATCGTTTTTTGGGGGGATGACTAAAAAGAGAATGCCTGTATTTCAGAGTGAGCATGTTGGATTGATGCCTTTATTATTTTGCTGTTTGCACCTAGATTGAATATGAAAGGAAAAAGAAAGAAGATGGAAAACGAGCTCGAGCTGATAAACAACACGTTTTAGACATGCTATTTTCTGCATTTGAGAAACATCAATATTATAATCTTAAGGACTTGGTGGACATCACAAAACAGCCTGTGGTATGTATTTGCTCACATTGATCCTTTAAATATGTCCTTCAGGGGGGTTGGGGGGATGGGTTAGCCTGGTGATGGGTATTAAAGAGGGCACGTGCTGAATGGAGCACTGGGTGTTATACGCAAACAATCATGGAACAGTACATCAAAAACTAATGATGTAATGTATGGTGATTAACATAACATAATAAAATAAATAAATATGTCCTTCATTTAGAGGATGTTACTGAAGAGAAGGGTATCATATATGAAGTAGTTCATATGCACCTATGCTAATGTCAGGGTTTATTTTCAACACTCAGAAAAGATGTCTTAATACTGATCATTGACATTAAGCCTGAAGTCTGTGTTGATATCATTTCTAGTCTTTATTTTGTTCCCCTAGCTCCCTCCAAAAAACACTCAACTTTTATTTATTTGAAAATGTGCCCCCTACAAGAACCGTATTCTTTTGAGAGCCAGACTGATCTGTCATGATGAGGGTGTTTATCCCTGTTATGTGGGCTATTCTCTAATGGATTTTTTTTTTTTTAATCAGAATTTACCTAGCACTAGCATTAGGTCCATTTCAACCTGAGCTGTACTGCCCCACAGTGCTTGTTGAGGTTGTGGTTGGAATTTTTAAGGAAAGATTTAATAAATTGATGTTTTAGAAAGTTTATAGTTCTATAAATGATCAATTTTTATCCCTGTGCCAGACTTCTGTGCCTATTTGCTAACAATTTGTTATTTCTAATCCATTTAAAATACTGGTAACAAATAAGGGATCTAAACCCCTTTTCTCCAAGCTCCAAGTCACATTTCCTTCCATTCAACTTTCTTAACCTAACATTAGCAAAGCAGCGAATTAAATTATAACAGTATTTATTTACAGGGTTTTTAAAAAGTAAATGGAATCTCTTTTATTTTCTGTCCTTTTATCTAGTTTTCTTTATCATTTTGTCCACTTTGCTTGTATACTCAGGAATATGTCAGTTCTAACTCCTCCATTTATTTCCTTAATATGTAACAAGATAGCCAGTTTTTAAAAACATTTTAACATAACCAAATAACAGTTTATCAAAGAGCTTGCTGTATGTTTTTTCTGATTTATTCAAAGCTTTAGGAAATGATTTATGAAACAGTATTGTACAGTTTCCCACTTCTGCAGGAATTTCTTTACTGTTATACTTTTTTATTAAGAAATTAAATTTAGGGCACCTGGGTGGCTCAGTTGGTTAAGTGACTGCCTTCAGCTCAGGTCATGATCCTGGAGTCCCAGGATCGAGTCCCACATCGGGCTCCCTGCTCAGCGGGGAGTCTGCTTCTCCCTCTGACCCTCCCCCCTCTCATGCTCTCTATCTCATTCTCTCTCTCAAATAAATAAATAAAATCTTTAAAAAAAAAGAAATTAAATTTCGAAAGATCTAAGTACTCTTTTTTAGTAGAAAAGAGCCAAGTGCTCATGCTGCAGTACTGTCAACTCCTCTTAATGACTTACTCTCTTCAGTATCAAAGCCTTAGAAACAGCATTTCAAACCAGATTTTTAAAAAAATTGAAATAGAATAATTCATTAGGTAAGCCGTGTTTTTTCTGCCTTTAATGAAGTTTATCCTTGTGAATGTAAACTTCATATATATTGTATATATGAGTGTGCGTGTGTGTGTGTGTGTGTGTATGAAAAGGCCATTCTGGAAACTGAATGCAAACAATATATTCTTATGGAATACCGTACACACAAAAATTAGATTTGGGAAAATAAGTGTTTGTAGAAGGGACATTTAGATGATTTTAGAGAAAGCAATTTCTTTGCTTTCCAATTTCTTAACATGGAACAACATATTGTTTTTAAAGTTTATTCATTTTGCATCAAAGAAAAGGGATAACTAGTATTTCTCTCAACTTTGGTTTTTCAGATAATTTTTATGTAGAGGTACACAGTGAATCTCTCAAAATAGAGCTTCTTAACTCATGGTCAGTAGGTGGGTTTTATGAGATCCAGTAATCTGAATATGTGAAAAAATATGTGGGTTTTTCTGGGGAGCAAATCCATAGTTAATATCAGATTCTCATAGAGGGCCTGGGAACCTCAAGGAGCTTATTAACCACTAATCTACAAACAATTATTTTATAATAGTCTTATTATTTAGAGGGCGCCTGGGTGGCTCAGTGGGTTAAGCGATTGCCTTTGGCGCAGGTCATGATCCTGGGGTCCCCGGATCGAGTCCCGCATCGGGCTCCCTGCTCGGCGGGAAGTCTGCTTCTCCCTCTGACCCTCTTCCCTCTCGTGCTCTCTATCTCTCATTCTCTCTCTCTCAAATAAATAAATAAAATCTTTAAAAAAAAATAGTCTTATTATTTAGAGACTAAATTGCCTCAGCAAGCATAAAGTTCTTGAAGACAGGGTTGTATATTAGTCATATCCTTAAATATTTATACATTCTGCATCATAAATGTAGTAGAAATTCAGTAAATATTAGAGGAATTGATTTGATAAAAAGGAAATGGCCCCATCCTCATTATCCAAGGACTACCATGTTTTACTTGGTTGGATTCAACAGGATTCAAAACACTTATGGCAGGAGAGGGGGACAGAGAGCCAGTCTCAAGGAAGTGTGGAATGACAGGGTTACAGTTATCTCCCCCTAGAGGAGGGGGCAGGAAGTGGTCAGCATGGGTTCAGTTCTGCCATTTACCTACCCCATTGGAATCTGAGAAAGTTCCTTCCATTCCTGAAATTGAGGAAATTGGACTGTTTAATTGTTTTGCTCCCTTCCAACCCTAAATGTGTGATTCTCTCCCTCTCCTATTTCATCTCCTCTTTGTTTTGAATTGAATTGGCAAATCTCACCTAGAAAGTGGCCAAAGGCCAGCTCTACTCTGTGTAGGTAAATATCCCCTTTAAAATGTTCACGGGACATAAGTGAGTCTATACTCCTGGTCATCAGTACACCCTTACTAATTTGATTTTAATCTGAGCAATACCAGGAGAATGAAGGAGAGTAGAGCATGAAGATCAGTGATCCAGGAAAGAGGCTTCTTGGTATGATGGAAAGAGCAGTGGATTTGGATTAATGGGATCTCAGTTCAAGTCCCAGTCCTGCCAGTTAGACAAATAGTCCTGAACAGGGTATTTAAATACATTTAATGTTTAATACAAAGAAATTTTTGAGCCCCCATGTAAAAGAGGAAAAAAAAAGATCTTGTTTGTATTAAACACTTCTTTAGTATATGTATTTAATGACTTTCTCTCATTTTCTGATGGTCCCAGTGCCCCCTTTGATAATAGATTTCTAACCATGAAGTCTATCGCTTTAACACATCCTCTTTGTCATTAACACGAGTACTATATTCTTAAGTTACCATCTGCTTTCTGACCTTTAGAATGTCAATTTTTTTAAAGATTTTATTTATTTATTTGTCAGAGAGGGAGAGAGTAAGTACAAGCAGGGGGAGCGTCAGGCAGAGGGAGAAGCAGGCTCTCCGCGTAGCAAGGAGCGCGATGCGGGACTCAATCCCAGGACCCTGGGATCATGACCTGAGCCGAAGGCAGCCGCTTAACTGACTGAGCCACCCAGGAGTCCCTAGAATGTCATTTTTGACACTTTCTGAGGGAACCTGAGATATTATTCTTGTTTTTGCAGTTCTTTCCTCTCTGTATTCTTCCTAAAAACCTTCACTTCTATGAGCAAAATTATTATTGATCAGAGAAACTGTCCTTATGGGCAGACTTTTTCTCTCATTGGTCAGTATGTGACTTGCATAAACAATCAAGGAGTTAAAGTTACTCATTAAGGGCAAATAAGCTGATTTTAAAAGGCCAAGCTCTGATAACTGATGTAAAATCAGAAACATGATACCCATTTAAAGGGGTGTTTTTATGGGGTGCTGGGTGGCTCAGTCGTTAAGCATCTGCCTTTGGCTCAGGTCATGATCCCAGGGTCCTGGGATCGAGCCCTGCATCGGGCTCCCTGCTCTGCGGGAAGCCTGCTTCTCCCTCTCCTGCTCCTCCTGCTTGTGTTCCCTCTCTCACTGTGTCTCTCTCTGTCAAATACATGAATACAATCTTTAAAAAAAAAGGGGGGGGTATTTTTATGTGGTTTAAATTTGGGCTTTTAAGCCCTCCTTAATGTGAAATACCAGAAGAAGGTCATTATTTCTCCCCTGTAGTCTTTGATCTTTCACCTTGAATTTGTTATGTCTAGTCTTATATTTTATTATATATGGAAAATAGAAGCATACACAGCATTTCCTTCAAAACTTAAATCATTCGAAACTTCATCTAATTGCTCCCTTTGAAACACCAAACTGCTAAGACCACTTTGAGCCCTGACACCCTGTTCTCTGGCATAGCAGCCATTTCTAGTGTTCCTTAAACCACATCTTTCTGCTAAAAGTATCATTAAAAATTAGTCCTGCTTATAAGCAACTCACTAATTTCCTTGTATCCACCTTGTTCATTTCTAGGCATGATCCAGGGAAGTTTATATTTAATTATTGATGATCCTTTTAAGTGAACAATCCCCTATCATATGAGTCTCTCAGACCCATTGCTTAATTCAGATATGTAATTGAGCAACTTGCATGCTTTTTATTAAAGTAAGTTCAAATTAACAGGAAAAACTAGGCAAAGATTTGGGTGGCTTTGACTTTGAAGCAATTAGTGTCCATACCTCAAGTTCCTCAGCACTAAATAATGCTCAATAGGCAGTTTTATTTGCACAAAGCGGGCTTTCATTAACAAAGCCATCACAGCAATAAGGCAATGTTAACCTAATCCTCAGAATTTGTTTCCATATAGATTTAAATAAAGGCATGAGTAGAAATAATTTAAGCAAAATTTGGCTTCAGTAAGATACAAGAAGATAGGCTTTTTAAAAGGATAAAATGGCTAGACAATTTGACCTACTGAATATTTCCCCTGTCAGAAAACAAAATTTTACTTATAAGTATATGCTGTTATAAGGGCCCCTGGCTGGCTCATTTGGTGGAGCATGTGACTCTTGATCTTGGGGTCATGAGT